TGGGAGATGAGGGAGGGGTTGGGCGAGGCAGCCGAAGCGCCCGGGAGCCCAACCGCATGTGTGTGTGTGTGTGTGTGTGTGTGCGCGGCTACGTATCTCGTTCCTGGCCCTCCCGCTTCATTCGTCCAGCCCGCGTGCTCCTAGAGTGCCTCTTGGTGCTCACCCGACATTCATGGCGAGTTGCATTCTGTAAGAAAATCAGGATTCGGATTGTAGGGGACAGGAAAGGCGGGATGGACGGAATGAAAGATCACGGCAGGATGCAGATATCGCACCGCGGATCTCGAATATTCCAGTGATTTAAGTGGAGATTTTTTACCCTGGAGACGGAATGGTAAGAATTTGCGCCTTGCCACGCTCTTTGGACCGTGGAGACCTGGAGTGGTGGGTCTCCTCAGCCCCTGCCGCGTTTCTGAGAACTTGGGAGACCCAATCATGGTGAGAATCAAACGCGTTCTGGACCCGGGAGACCCTGGAATGGTGCGAGTCTCCTGTACCCATCGGTCGTGGAAGCTAGTATCTTGGGATCCCCAATCTGATCTACTTTAGGCGCCTTCCGACCGATGGACCTCCCTGCGACGCCCTGGGCCTGGGAGACCTGGACATGCGAGAGCCCCACGCGCCTGCCACACTTTCCAAGGGCTCCGACGATATGTTCTTCGCGACCGGAGCTCCCGCCCCGAGCTCGGCCTCTGGGACTCGTTCCCGAGCCGCGAGGCCATCGCACACGGATCCTGCAGTGGGGGCCCATGCCAGGGAACACCCTGCTTGCCTCTCGGGTGCCCTTGGTTTCTTGGGTTTCGATGGTTTTGCTATGGAAGGCGTGACGTTCCCACATCAAAATTCGATGGGCGTCCTGGGGTCTCTGGGTTGGGTTTCTTTTGGAAGGTTGCTTGTGGTCGGGCCCCTACTGGATTCTTCCCTGGGGAAGGGGTCGGGACCTCATGGGGCCGAGGAGGGACCAAATCACGTCGGCGGATTTTCAGGGCTTCGTGGGTTGAAGAAGAAAACACGGCATAAACATAAACTTTTGGCGCACCGCGCAGATGTCTTGGATCCGCGCTGGGCCCCCCCGGAGGCGCCTCCAGCGCCGCCCCTGACGCGCTCTGCGCACCAGGGAGGGGGTTCCAGCGCAGATCCCAGAAATCCGCGCGGAGCGCCGAAAGCTTGTGTTCATAGCGCTGTTTTTCGTCTTCTCGTGGGCCCGGGGGACCAGGAACGGCGAGACTCGGGTGCCGCTGCCGCGGTCTTTCGGGCCCACGAGAGCTGGGAGTGGTGAGGCTCCTCCGCGCAAGACGCTGAGACGAGGACCACCTTCGGCTCATGAAGGGCTCTGGTTTTTCAAGGGCGCCCTCGAGGGCGCGAAGTTATGCGCGCTTCGCGCTTCGCGGTTCGGCTCCGATCCCTCCTCATCCTCCTCTCCTCCCCCGGAAGGCGGCGCGCGAGAGCGCGAAGTTCTTCGCACTCCGCGCTTCGCGCAGCGCGAAGCACGAGGTTGGGAGCCCACGAGACGCTGAGACGAAGACCACCTTCGGCTCAGGAGGGGCTCTGGTTTTCGGGCCGTTGCGCGGGTCCAGGTCGGGACCCCTCCACGCCGGCCTGGCCGCCGAGGTGCCGCGTGAGGCTCCGGCCCACCGCTTTAGGTTAATTCGTCTTTGCGCGGCCCGCTCTGACTCGACTCGCCGCTGGCGCTCTCGCCTGCGGTCGCTGACCGGGTCCACAGCGGGGAGCCCGTTCGTGGCCGAGGCTCGCCGTGGCCAGGAGGCGCGCCTTCGCTCCTTTGTTCAGCGTGCCGCGTGGCAGCACGAGGATTGTGTGCACCCTTGGTGCGGGGGGAGCAGAGGGGGAGAGGAAGCAAGGAGAAGGACGAGGGAGGAGAGGAGAGGAGACGAGGGAGGCTGAAGGCGCACGAGCGGGAGGAGGGAGCCAGGAGGAAGAAGGAGGGAGGGTGGTGAGAGCAGAAGGAGGAATAATAAGAGGACGAGGAGGAGGAGGATGAAGGAGGAGGAGGATGAAGAGGGGGAGGAGGAGGAGGAGGAGGAGGAGGAGGAGGAGGAGGAGGAGGAGGAGGAGGAGGAGGAGGAGGAGGAGGAGGAGGAGGAGGAGGAGGAGGAGGAGGAGAAGGAGGGAGGAGGAGTAGGATCTTGCAGGATTCTGCAGAACCAGGGGTGCATTGACCCATGTTAGCGTGCAGGACCCTGCAGGATCCTGCGAGGCCTGACTGACCTGGGTGTTTGGATTGACCCGGGTCCGTAGATCCCCGGTGGGTCAGAGCCGCGGAGACGCCCCCACGAGCACTCCCAGGCCGCGACTCTGAAGGAACAGCTTTTGGACCACTTCTGCGGTCGAGATCGGTTGGCAGGTCGACCCTGCCAAACAATGACGGGTGCCCCCGTAGCCTGCGCATCGTGCCTCACGTCTTCCGCAGTCCCCTGGGGCACCGTGTCCCTCGGAAGGGCGTGTTGTGTCTTCTGGCTTGTCCTTTCCAATTCGGTTCGACTGTAGAGTTAAGTCGGGCGTGTCCTTCTACAGGAGGAGTGTTCAGAAATAGTGAAACATCGTCTTGGGACTTTTTTGGGGGGTATTTTTGGGTATTTTCCCTACCTAGGCTCTGCCTAGAAGGGTTCTTACCCTCTAGCTTAAAGGGGCCGGGCAGTGGAAACCGCCCCGGGCGGTTCCCCCAGTCCCCGCCCCGCGGTTCCCCCAGTCCCCCTGGGAGCTTTAGCTTTAGCTTTTAGCTTTAGCTTTAGCTTTTAGCTTTAGCTTTAGCTTTAGCTTTAGCTTAGCTTTAGCTTAGCTTTAGCTTAGCTTTAGCTTAGCTTTAGCTTAACTTTAGCTTAGCTTTAGTTTAGCTTTAGCTTAGCTTTAACTTTAGCTTTAGCTTAGCTTTAACTTTAGCTCAGCTTTAGCTTAGCTTCAGCTTAGCTTTAGCTTTGCTTTAGCTTAGCTTTATCTTAGCTTTAACTTAGCTTTGGCTAGCTTTAGCTTAGCTTTAGTTTAGCGTTGGCTGAGCTTTAGCTTAGCTTCAGCTTAGCGTTAGCTTAGCGTTAGCTTAGCTTTAGCTTAGCTTCAGCTTAGCTTTAGCTTTAGCTTTAACTTAGCTTTAGCTGATATTTAGCTTAGCTTTAGCTTAGCGTTATCTTAGCTTCAACTTAGCTTTATCTTAGCTTTAGCTTAGCTTTAGCTTAGCTTCAGCTTAGCTTTAGCTTAGCTTTAGCTTAGTGTTAGCTTAGCCTTAGCTTAGCTTTAGCTTAGCTGTAGCTTAGCTGCAGCTTAGCTTTAGCTTAGCTTTACTGTTACTACGAATGCTGCTTTCCTAGGGGCTCCAACTCCTAGGTAGGGTCGCACTGGGACAATGTTGATTATTCCCTACCTGGGCTCTGCCTAGAAGGGTTCTTACTCTGTTAGCTAAAGGGGCCGGGCAATGGAAACCGCCCCGGGCGGTTCCCCCAGTCCCCGCCCCGCGGTTCCCCCAGTCCCCCTGGGAGCTTTAGATTTAGCTTTTAGCTTTAGCTTTTAGCTTTAGCTTTAGCTTAGCTTTAGCTTAGCTTTAGCTTAGCTTTAGCTTAGCTTTAGCTTAGCTTTAGCTTAGCTTTAGCTTAGCTTAGCTTAGTGTTAGCTTAGCTTTAGCTTAGCTTTAGCTTAGCTTTAGCTTAGCTTCAGCTTAGCTTTAGCTTAGCTTTAGCTTAGTGTTAGCTTAGCCTTAGCTTAGCTTTAGCTTAGCTTTAGCTTAGCTTTAGCTTAGCTTTAGCTTAGCTTTAGCTTAGCTTTAGCTTAGCTTTAGCTTAGCTTAGCTTTAGCTTAGCTTTAGCTTAGCTTTAGCTTAGCTTTAGCTTAGCTTTAGCTTAGCTTTAGCTTAGCTTTAGCTTAGCTTTAGCTTAGCTTTAGCTTAGCTTTAGCTTTTAGCTTAGCTTTAGCTTAGCTTTAGCTTTAGCTTAGCTTTAGCTTAGCTTTTTAGCTTAGCTTTAGCTTAGCTTTAGCTTAGCTTTAGCTTAGCTTAGCTTAGCTTTAGCTTAGCTTTAGCTTAGCTTTAGCTTAGCTTTAGCTTAGCTTTAGCTTAGCTTCAGCTTTAGCTTAGCTTTTAGCTTAGCTTTAGCTTAGCTTTAGCTTAGCTTTAGCTAGCTTTAGCTTAGCTTAGCTTAGCTTTAGCTTAGCTTTAGCTTAGCTTTAGCTTAGCTTAGCTTAGCTTAGCTTAGCTTAGCCTTAGCTTAGCTTTAGCTTAGTGTTAACTTAGCCTTAGCTTAGCTTTGGCTTAGCTTTAGCTTAGCTTTAGCTTAGCTTTAGCTTAGCTTTAGCTTAGCTAGCTTTAGCTTTAGCTTAGCTTTAGCTTAGCTAACTGCTGCTGCTTTCCTAGGGGCTCCAACTCCTAGGTAGGGTCGCACTGGGATAATGTTCTGACTATTTCAACGACGCGGCGCTTGTGTTGTTGCGGGACACAAGCGGGGAGCGACGTTGTTGCGCGGGCGCCTGCGCGGCACAGCGCGGCGCCGCCCATCATGGCTGCGCTGCGGGAGAGCGGCTCAAATCCCCCCCGCCAAGGGGCTTCGCACGCGGGAGGGGTTTTCAGCGGTCGCCACCGCCCAGGGGATGGACCCTGGCGGTGGGCGGCGTCGTTGTTTTTGCCGCGCGATGGGCGCCTGGTTCTTGCTTCTGTTTGTCCGGTGCATCGGTGGGTGGCTGTCGCCGCTTCGCATCAGGCATCCGCCGTTCCCTTCCTCCGCTCGTTTCCCGCCGTCCTCGTCGTCGGCCCGCCTGTCCGTCAACCCCCTCTGGGGTTGGCGTGTGGCCCCGCTTGTGCTGTTCGCCTGGGCTCCTCTCCGCCCCCGCCGCCTGCTTTGGCCCGCCTCGGCCCTGCCCTGTCCCCTGGCCCGCTTCGCCCGCCCCTTCTTTCTGCTTTTCTCTCCCTTGCCTCGGCCTGCCTGCTGGCCCGTTTGGCTCGGTCGCTTGGCTTGGCCCTGGCCCGCGCCCGGGCCCGTGGCCTGCTCTCCCCCCCCTCCCTCCCTCCTCCGTCCGTCGGTCGTCCGTCGCCCGTCTGCCTGTCTGTCCGTCCTGTCCTGCGGCCTGGCCGCGGTCTTGGGCCCTGCTGCTTGGCGGCTTTTTCGCGTTCGTCCGTCCCCTCGTGGGCCTGGCCGTCGCTGCGTGGCCAGGAGGCGCGCTTCAGGTGTGGTTTGCGCCGTGGGTTGGGGGGCCCCTTCTTTCTCGCCAGCGAGTGTCTGGCAGGCCGGGGGGCGTGCGCGCGGTGCAGGTGGCCCCGGATGGGCGAGGTTCGTCCTGGTTGCTTTGTTCGGGCCAGGTCGTTGCTGCGTGGCCAGGTGGCGCGCATGTGTGGTTTGCGCCAAGGGCTGGGAGGTCCTTTTCCCGCCCCCCCCAGCAAGTGTCTGGTGGCCGGTGCGTGACCGGGTGGCGCGCGCGCGGTGCAGGTGGCTCCGAGGGAGCGAGGATCGTCCCGTATTTTGCCGTAGGGCTCGGCAGTTGCCTTCGCCCCGAGCGCGATCGTGGCGGTTTCCCTGCAATCTTTCTTGGGCGACGTGGGCGGCGCGGCTCGCGATGCCGCGTTCCTCCCGAGCGTGGCTGAACGGCTCGGCGGCTACGGGGTCGCTGCTGTGCAGGACCTGGTCGGGTTAGACGTCGGCGATCTCCCGTCTAGGGATCTCGAGAATCCAGGGCTCAAGCGCGGATTCGTCAGGCGCGGCCCGCGCGAGCTCGCGCTGCGCGTGGCACAGGCGGGCGGTCGCCAAGGCCGCGCGGGCCGCGACGGAGCGCGAGAATGCTGCGCGCGCGAGAGTGGATCGGCGACGACGCGGGTGTCCTTCTCGGAAAAATTGCCCGACATGGGGCTGCGCGGTCTGGGCGCCCAGTTCTGGCCACGGCGAGCCTTCGTTCCATCTTGCCGCCTAGCGCCGCGCGAGCAGCGCGAGCCGTGCTCGCGAGGGCTGCCGCGGCGGACGAGTGACGCGCGAAAGGTGCGCGTGCTGCTGACGTGGGTATGGCGAGTTTTGGGCTGAGTCGGGGCGGGCGCGCGACCGCCGGGCCACGGAGGAGACGGGGTCGGTGTCCAGCGAAGTCTCCCAGCTCGCGCGGGCAATGGGGGCCCGCGTGGAAAAGGGAGGGGCGCAGATTTGTCCATGCTTCAGTGGCAGGTCGCGCGGGGAAGGTGCGGCGCCCTGTTCTCGGCCTCGCCTGGCGCGCGCGGGCGCGCGCGAAGTGCGAGGTATTCGACTGCGGCCGTCGCCGTCGGCCACCTGTCTGGCGTCGCCGCCCTCGCGCGCCGCGACGTATGCATGGGGGCGGCGCTGGCCTTCTTCCGCGTCCCGCGGCGGCGTTTGGCCCGCCCCGCTTGCGCGCCCCGGCAGGTTATGATGGGCGCCCAGGAAAAGGGCGTTCAGCTCGGCATCTGCTGCGAATTCGTCGCCCGCAAGAGCTGGCGAGAGCGAGCCGCGTCGGGCCCCCGTTTCCCCCGCTGTTGTTCTGCCCGCGCCGCGCCGCAAGCGGGGGCGCGGCCGCCGGCGCCCGGGTGGCGCGACGCTTGACGTCGACAGAGAGTCGGGTCGTGAACCCGCCCCTGCTCAGGCAGGCTGAAGTGGGGCTGTCGAGGGGGCGCGGGCGCGGTAGGGGCAGCGGAAAGGCCCGCCGTGCCGCGCGAAGTGGGGCGCCGCCGATTCGCCGCGTAGCGTCAGGCGCTGCGCGGCCCCGCAATGTTCGCCCCCGCGAAGGGAAGCGGCGGCCGCGAGGGCCAGGGCGACGTTGGGTCAGGCGGCAAGGGAGGGGCGCCCCATCGGGGCGCATATCCTTGCACGCGCCGCGCGCGCACGGCGCCAGGAATATGGCGATTCTCGCGAGCCGACGACGCCGACGAGGAACCGCTCGCGGAGCCGTGGCTCGTGGGCCGGGAGCAGCGCCCCGCCCCGGTGGTTTTCAAACGAGTGAATAGGGGCGTGCCGCTTGCGCCCTGCATTGGCGCGCGGCGCCGGGGCGCGCGCGCCTGCGCGTAGGCTGCGGCGAGCCCCGACGCGTTGCGTATATAATTAGCTTGTGAGTGTGAGATGTCTGCTGGCGGCGTCGGCTGCTCGCAGACGCCGCGTGCGCGCTCGCGGGCGAGTCGCCTTCAGCGCGCAGGGCCGGGCGGCGACGTTTGTTGTCTTTTTCGTGCCGGGATGCAATGGCGGAAAATTCGGGGCGCGGGCAGTGTGCCCGCGCGGCCCCGGGATCCGCGGTGGATCGGCGCGCGGGTGGTTGCGACGCCGAATGCGATTCCCCGTGCTCAAGCAACGGCGAGCACGGCGCCGTCATAATTCCAGCGGAGGCGCCTGTTCGGCGCGCGTTGTCGCGCCCTCTCCGCGCGCGTGTCGCGCGCCGCGCCCGGGGCGGTGGCGGCGAGGATTGCGAACTCATGGGTGTCTTCAAGTGGCCACGTGAAGACGACGTTTCTGCTATTCGCGAAGAGGTCGACGCGCTACTATCGGACCAGTTCCGGGTGGGGGCCGCGCCCCCGCCTGACCGCTTGAGGTGGGCGCAGTCGCTCCCGC